GCGCATGGGGCTCTCTACCCTTTGTACTCCCCAGTGCGTACTTCAGGAGGAGAGGGCACTTTGCTGCCTACTGCTTGGGTTTACCTCAACTGCAAGAGGGCATACCGTGCCCAACCCTAACTCCTGGCCCTCCAGATCTCTCCATTGTCCCTTGGACACACGTGCCTTCCTGACCACCTTCCCCATATCACCTGAGCTTTCTGCATGTGTTGCAGGTGGTCCCCTTTGGAGCTCCATCAAAAAGTCATTTGTACACAGGTTACAGCCCTTCTTTCGGCTCCTCCAGAACCTCTTGTTGAGGTTCTGGCTGCACTTTTCCTCTCACCTGTTCGTTTTGCACACCCCATCCGTGGCCCCACAAAGTCCCAGGACCTCCTCATCAATCTCCTCCTGGCTATAGCTAAAATGGCAACTTACAAGACCAGGGAGCAGCAGGGTTGCCAGCTGTCTGGTTTTGAACCAGACAGTCCGGTATTTGAGGTTTCTGTCCAGGAAATAAATTGAGAAAATTCCAGACATATAAATGTCTGGTATTTTCTAATTAAGTAAGTTTTATTATTACGAGTGTCAGTCACTTACACTGCGTGAGCGTGTCTACCTGCCAGGCAGTACGCAACAACGCAGTAGAGAGGAGGGAGATGGGGGTGGGGTCAGGGAGGGATGGAATCAAATCCCCTTGGGCTGGACTCGCGTGTGCTTCGCCGGGACAGTGTGCAGGACGGGCAGCACGCCAGGATCTACATGCGCCCAGGCCAGCCCCGCTCCCCCTGACACCCTCCCAGCCAGCCCTGCTCCCCTTCGGCCAGTTCTCCCCCGGCGAGCCCCGCTCCCTCTGAACCTCTCTTGCCCAGCCCTGCTTCTTGCCATCTGGTTCTCTCCCCCCCCCCCCACTTCCTCCTGGCCAGCCCTGCTCCCCTTCGGCCAGTTCTCCCCCGGCGAGCCCCGCTCCCTCTGAACCTCTCTTGCCCAGCCCTGCTTCTTGCCATCTGGTTCTCTCCCCCCCCCCCCACTTCCTCCTGGCCAGCCCTGCTCCCCTCCCGGCAGGTCTCCCCCACCTCCCAATCTGAGAACAAGTGTGTCCGGTATTTTTTTTGAAGCCATCTGGTAACCCTAGGGAGCAGAGGTTGGCTGAAGGAGGAGCCTGCAACTCTGGGGCCTAAATCTGTATCTCTTCCACTGGGTGGCATCTGCTGGCTCTCTCCGTCAAGGCCTTTGAGGAGCAGTGGGCACTGTCTGGGGTTCTCTGCTTGGTGTTCCTATCCAGCTCCCTCATTTTAGCCCTTTGACCTCCACATCCGTCCCTATTTTTCTCTTTATTTGTCCTCCATAATTGCTTGGGGGCCTGGGCTCTGTGGACCCTCCCCGTAGGCTGGGGTGGGAGGTCCTTTAGATGTGGGTGGGCTTATGCCTGCCCACCTCCCAGACTCCAATAGGACCAGTTCCTGTGACTCTCTGTTCCTTTCAGAAAGGCTTATGTTCCTGTAAATTCCACCTGGTGAAATATCTCACATCACCAATATAAAAAAAGACAAAACAGCCAACAACATAATCTTTCTACAGTGTTTGTGTATTACAAAAGTGCATCTAAACTTGTTTCACACACTATTATTACAGGAAAAGTGCTACTTCAGGGTTTAAAAAAACAGGAGTCTGCTTAGGATTCTAAATCCAAGTTTAGGCACCTAAATAAGTGGCCTGCATTTCAAGTAGTGCTAATTACCCATTTTTATTTAAGTACCTAAAAATGGAGGTAGGAGTCTAAGTTTAAGCTTTATATACAAATTAATTATTTTAGAAGCTTGTGTTTTTGACCATTTAAGATTGATCCATAAATTCTTGGTTTCTTCTCAGTTTTGTTGACTATAAAGAAGTAAATACTTTCACATGATTTTGAGCTGCAGTGTAGTTAATTAAAATAACCTTGCCCCTAAATATGATGGCTCATATATGTAGGCTTGTTTGTTCTTGGTGCCACAGTTCAGTGTTTATGATCAAATAGGAGATGTATATATTTAGCTCATTTTATGATGATACTATATAAACAATAGTTACAAGTAGGCTGTTTTATCCTTGTGTTCTTACAGCTACTGCAGAAATTATGTTAAGTTTCAGATTATCTTGAGATAAGACTACAACCCAGCAGCTCAAAGTTCAGAAGAGATCATTACCTTCAAGGACAAAAGCAGCTGAGTTTGTCATCCTTTGCTTTATAGCAGTAGTACTTCATTTTTTCTGATAAACAGTCTGGTACTGCAAGCTAGTAGTTTAACACTAGCGTGGAGATCTATCAGTAGTGGATAGCACTACTTTTGTGAATCTGAACTGACGTGCCATGCTAGGAATACTGTGTAAGGTACCCCTCTCCAAGAAAATAAAGAAAAATAACTTTCATTATGGCAGGAGGAATATTACTTTTGTTTAAAAAAATGTCGAGATTTGGTACTATGTGTTTCCTATAAGGTAAATCCTGAATTCATTTGTAAAATACAAGTATTTGACTTGATGAAATCCATTATTTGTTACTGAAATATTTATTCTCTGAAAATTGTAGAGAATATTTTGGTTGTATAACATTCCACTTTTCTTGAGAATATGAATTTAATTTTAGATTGTGGTGTTTAAACAAGGTACCAGGGCTTTCATAGACTATCAAAAATATGTTCAGGGATTCTGATGAAAATCTCAAATTTGTGTCCCCCCTCCCACCAATATTTCAAATAGACCTTTATATTTTGGTAGGTATGCCATGTAGAGTGGTAAGAATAAATTGTTTCATTTTTTTACTTCACTCAGTGGTTACTTTATTTTGTTTTCCCTTCTGTGCTATAAAGTTCCATTATCTGTGTAGGATGGTTACAGTGAACGAGTACTATGTTGTTGTAAAACCTCCCCCCGCCTTCTTAAATGGGGAAAAGTGGTGATCCCAGCTGAACCTGATTTCAGAAGTGAATATGTCTCTTTTAATATATCATTTGTTGCTATCTATGCAACTTTTTGTTATTTTATACAGCAACTGATGAAATTCTCATTTAATATTAACATATGACACTTCATTGATAAAAAACTTTCCCCCATCTTATTAGGTGATAGTTCATACGGATGCTTCAGAAAGGTGTCTATTCATCTTTCTTTTCCTCCTCTTATGCATGTAGCTCCTCAATTAGGGTAAAGTCTAGGGTCATGAAAATCAATGGCAAAAATCTCTTGGATTTAAACAGGACAAAGAAAGGACATATAGTGTGATTCTTTCCCCCCACCCCATCTGTAGTCCTGAGGGAATTCTGCACGCTTGTCCTGCCCCTGCCACCCCTATTCCCTGAGGCCCTGATCCTACCATGTCCCTTCTCTGAGGCCCCATCCCCACTCGTTCCATCCCCCCTTCCTCTGTCACTCACTCTGTCCCACCCTCACTTACTTTCACTGGGATGACACAGAGGTGGTACAAGGGTTTGGGAGGGAGTGTGGCCAGTGGTTTGGGGCTGAGAGATTTGGAGTGTGGGAGGGGATTTTGGGTTGAGCTTGGGACAGGGGGTTGGAGTGCAAGCTGGGAGTGAGTTTGGCAGGAAGTTCATGACTAGGGCAGGGGCACTGGAACTGGAGGAGGAAGGGGCTGTGGGCTCTGGGATAGAGTTTGCCTGTGGGAGGGCTCAGGGCTGGGGAAGAAGGTTGAGGTGCAAGAGTGGGTGCTGATTGTGAGTTCTGGAAGGAGGACACTGAGGGTTGGGGCAGGGAGGTTGAGGTGTGGGAGAGAATGAGTGCTGCAGTGCTTACCTTGAATGGTTCACTGTCAGTGGGGTTAAGGCAGGCTCCTTGCTTGCCCTGGTTTAATGTCTCTCAGAAGTGGCCAGAATGTCCTTGTAGCAGCTAGGTGGTGGTAGAGGTAGGTGGTTTCGTAGGCTATCCCTTCCAGAAGGCATTGCTCCCATAGTTCCCATTGGCCACAGATCCCAGCCAAGGGGAGCTGCAGAGTTGTTACTTGGAGTCGGGGCAGAATGCAGAGACCTCTGGCTCCCCACCTAAGGGGCGCTTCAAGGAAGGACATGTCAAATGTTTTTGAGAGCATTGTGGTGCCAGGACAGGCAGGGAACTTTCCTTAATCCTGCTGCACACTGGACTTTTATTGGCCAATGTTTTGGTTTGACAACAGGAGCCTCTAAGAGATCAAGCCCAATTCCAGGAGAATCCCAATGAATCTAAGAGGGTTTCAACCTCACTCCTGGGGGAACTGTTCAGTGAGAAATACTTTTCTGTAAGGAAACAAAATATCTGTGGGGAACATCAATTTTGTGAATGTGCAGTGGTACAGAATTCCTCCAAGAGTACTACCTGGAGAATTTTTCTGTGTGTCTTTCAACAAAGTGGTATGTAGGATAAAATGTTGCCATTTTCACATTTTCTGTAAGACCTTTTCATACCTAGAAAGGTAATGACATTATTTTACTTATTTTATTGTGCCTTCAGTGGCATCTTGTCCATTTTTATAATTAGTTTTAAATCACATTGGCAGAATCAAGGTGTTTGTTTACACCTGAATATTTTAGATTGCAAAATCAAATAAGACTGATCTGATTTTCTTCAGCAGTTCGATTTGTTCAATCTAGAAATTAAGTTAATAGATGGGAAGTGGATCTAATTCTTACTAGCAATATTTTTTAGATATATCTGCCGAACCAGGAAGTGCCCTTCTATGACATTCTGAAAGGGCAAAATCTTCTTTTGAAACTGATAACAAAATAATAGATAAAATAAAGAATGATCTGCCCAATAAGGTACAATTTAAATAAAGTAAATCCAGTGGGAAATAGCTATATTGATAGCAGATGGATTTGTTGCCTGAATCTCATTCGTATTGGAAATTCTAGACCAATTAAAAATTGTACTCCAGATTCTCATTCTGATAAAGAAAAAAAATCGTATAAAATGATGTGTTTATTTTGCTATAGTGTTGTGATTTTGCTGAATTTTTCAACTTTCTATTTTTATTTTCATTTTTTATTTAGGCTATTTTTATGATTCCCACAAATCCACCACCAACATTCCGGAAGCCGGAGCTCTGGTCCGATGAATTTACTGATTTTGTGAAAAAATGTTTAGTGAAGAATCCTGAGCAGAGAGCTACTGCAACACAACTCCTACAAGTCAGTATTTCAGTTGTTAAAGCAGTCTATCCTCTTCGATTTTCTAGCTTCAGAACATCTGTGAGGATTTCTAGAAGCCAAGAGCAATGCTGTTCTGATCACATGATCTTTCTTGACATTTATCTAACTATAAGTACAGAGATTCAAATAATAGCAAGCCGAAGCAAATGATAAGATATGAAATAAAATCTTAATGCACATTTCAAATTTAGACTTACTTTTAACTGGATATGCTCATGTATTGTGGTGATGTAGGCACAAAATCCTTGAAGGGCTTTACAAACAGTTTGTCTGGATTCTGTCTGGATAACTTAGCTGGCATGAGCAGGCCCACATTAAGAGAAGATGAGCCTGAATAAGTGATTGCTGAAACAACTAAATATTGTGAATATAGTTAAAAAGGGAGACAGAAACTAACTAAACTAACTATTGTGAGTATCATGAGCTTTTGTGGGCACAGCCTACTTCTTCAGATGACCTGAGTGTTGGATGTCCAGAACCAAAATAAATGAGGGAAGAAGGGTGGGTGGGGGGCGGAAGGGAGGGTGGACAGAAAGAGGCAGAGGGTAAATAAATATCTAAGGCTTAGTCTACACTGCAGGGTTTTTGCACAAGAAGCCTTTTGCGGAAGAGTTCTTGTGCAAAAACTTCTTGTGCGAAAGCGCATCCAGACCTCAAAGCGCATCGCAAAAGTGATATGCTTGTGCACAAGAGAGCTCCCACACTGCATGGATGCTCTTGTGCAAGAAAGCTCTGATGGCCATTCACAGAATGGCCATCAGAGCACCTTTGCTTTTTCCAAAAGGGGTTTCTAGCACAAACCCCCCTCCGGAGCATCCACACATGCCTTTTTGCGCAAGAACTGTAATGCAAAAAGGAGTTATTCTTCGTGGGGAGAGGAATAACTCTACTGGCAAAAGCCTCTGTTATGTTGATTTTCTTGTGCAAAAACGCACTTGAGGTGTGGACGCTCTGCCGGTTTTCGCACAAAAACCTTGTAGTGTAGACATAGCCAAAGAGAAAGCCGAGTATGTATGTAACAAGGCTATAGTATATACCAAGGCTATAGTGTAAATCAAGGTTCGCTGTAAGCTGCACACCTGCGTGCTTGCGCAGCTGTTTTCTGAGCTTCTCTCAGTTCAAAGCTCCTATGCAGGCATGGAGCTCAGCTGATCTGCAGGGGGAGGGGCATCTCACTGAGCAAGCAGCTAAATGGGAGCTAGCTACCTGCTTGAACTGAGGAGCTCAAAGAGCTAGTAAATAGGGAGATGAGACAATTAGTGGTGAGGATGAGGGAGGATGGAGTAAATAAGTAATTGGCTGATGAGGAATCAGAGGGGAGGGGAGCTTAGAGTGTCCCTCTGCAGAAGGAGAGAGAGGCAGAAACTCATCACTCTCTAGCCTCCTGGGAAGGGGGAGATAAGGGGCTGATTGCATGGGGTAGACGGGGGAAAAACAGGGTGGGTGGGTGCTTGCATCTGGCATCTGTGCAGTGAGGTGGAAGCAGTGGGCAGTTTGTTTGGGGTCTCTCACTTGCTGCAGTCCTCTCTGTCTGTCTGGGTTGAGGGGGGATGTGTGTGAGCCAGGATATTTGCATTTCAAAGTTTACATTAGGTGTTAATGGCTTAAGATAAGAAAGAAAAAGATTCTTTAAACAGAATGTTTTTGGAGTGTTGCAGATACCTAAAACTCTGAACTTAATGATTTTTTAAAATCCTGTGTTACTAATTAATACATGGTAATTGTATTGCATTAAGACCATATTTTTACTATGTGATAGAATTCTGGCTCTTATGAGTCAGAAGTAGCAAGTACTAGCTTGAGCTGTTAGAAAGGTTGATACATGGACTCCAAGGGTAGTGTTAATTTTCTTTATTTGACTTCATATTAAATATCATAAACATTGCTTCTTGTTAAATATTCCGTATTTTAATATATTTTCTTCCACACATATGGGCTGCTTACAATTGTGTGTGTTTTTTGTTTGTATTGGTGGTGTGCATCCACACACACACTACTTCAATATAGGAGGTGGTGCACATATGAAATTTCAACCCACCCAAAAGAAAATTCAACCCACCCAAGGATAGAAAATGTTAGAGTGAACACTGGTGTTGACAATGACATAATTAAGTCAGTGTAAGCTGCTTCACATTGACCTTAGTCTGTACGATAGACATGCCATCAATTTCAAGGATAGATCTATGTGCTATCTCTGGATTGCAATTTTTTCAATTGTCATTTTTCATTTGGTATAATAACTTACTCTGCCAGTCTCAGAACTGTAGGTATGTTCACTTGGTCTGAGAAATTCCATGGAAGTAGTGATGGAATAGTGTAGTTGACAACATGCATATGAAGTAGGGTAAATTAAATGGCTTTGAATTAAAAATAATCTGCGTAATAAAAGGTAATGGAGATTTTTTGCTTGTTTTACATTTCAGCATTGCAAATTATTAAATAATTCATGACATATTAATATATATATTTTTTGAAGTAAGCAACAGCTACCCTGCTTTATGGCCAGTAATTTGTGTTGTCTGCTTGTTAAGATTAATTAAATGTTGTAACTGAATATCTGAAAAAGTTTATTTTTCTGTGTCAGACAATCACCATTCTACTCCTATACTATGTACATTTCCTTTGGACAATTACACGCTTAACTATAAAACAGTTGTATTATATATGGTAGTTACATTTTCCCATGGCTTGCTCTATAAAAACCCCAAATAAAGAAACCTAAAGCTTATTTAGTTGCAGAGCAGCTAAGAGAGATTATATGTTTCCCTAACCTAGATTTTAATTTCTGTCTGATACGAAAAACTATTGTTAAATAGTCTGTGATATTGAATAACATGTTATTTTTATCATCTGTTACTTGTAATAAAGCTGTAGCCGAAAAGTGTTTATTGTATTTGTGTTATATAATTTCTTGATTTTGTTTTCTAGCATACTTTTATTAAGAATGCCAAGCCAGTCTCAATTTTAAGAGACCTGATCACGGAAGCAATGGAGATCAAGGCAAAGAGACATGAAGAACAACAAAGGGAACTGGAAGAGGAGGACGAAAACTCGGTATTTAAAAAAAATTGTATTTTATGGGTGGTGTTTGTTTGTTTATTTTATAATTTTCTCCCTATATAAATGTTCCTCAGCTTGCAAGTTCAGAACTTTTACCTGTGTTCATGTTGAGTAATACTCCGCTGACTACTGAAGCATTAGCCTGTTTCCAATACAACGTTACCTAGTTGTACTGATCTATGAGGTCTTTTTTAACTAAAAATGCTTTTTCTACCTGTGGTATGCTACAGTAAATGAAAATGCCTGGGCTAAGGTTTTAAAAAATGAGTCAAGATATTCAAGGTATGCTTCTGAATCCATATTTAGGTATCTGAATAAGTAGTCTGACTTCAAAAGTTATGAGTACCCTACATCTTCCTCTGATGTCAGTTATAGAAAACAGTAATTTAAAGTATCAAATAGTAATTTGTGAATTACGTTGGTCGATGTTGCTATTTTCACATTATGCGCATGATTTTTCACAAAGCTGTATTTGGGACATGAATTAGGAAGTAAATGGGATGTATGTTGTTTGTTCTGCAGTACTAAGAGTAAATCATTCTTCCTTCATTTCATTACCAACATTAAATTTATTTATTGCAAGCCTGTGAAATGTGGTCAAGGAGATAATATCTCCAATGGAAAAAGACATTGTTCCGTGTGTTTCAAACAAATGCATTGCCATGCATCATCATTGGAAGAACCAAGGTCATACCAGAGCAAGGTGGAATAAAAAGTTGATGGCTTGAATCTTAATATGAATCTGACAGTTATGAACAAATTGAAAGTCATACATTTTCATAATGTATTGTGTATCATCACAATCCGAACTAAAGAAACTTTGTTAGGTACTCTGGATTTTAGTATGATGACATATATATAGTATATAGTCTAGTAAAATGTAGAATGCTTGATTTGGGTATGGCATAAGATGTGTTCTGTGTTTACATGATGTTTTAACCCTGACTGACAGTATGGGTATGTCTAAACTACAAAGTTAATTCGAACTAACAGCCGTTAGTTCGAATTAACTTTAATAGCGGCTATACGTGCAAACCTCTGGTTCAAATCTAAATCGAACTAGCAGAGAGCTTAACTCTAGTTCAAATCTAAATCGAACTAGCAGAGAGCTTAATTCGAACTAGGTAAACCTTATTCTACAAGGACTAACGCCTAGTTCGAATTAAGTAGTTTGAATTAAGGGCTGTGTAGTCACTTAATTGGAACTAGTTGGAAGCTAGTCCTTCCCAGGTTGCCCTGGTGGCCACTGTGAGCCAAACCAGGGAAACTTTTCTGCCCCCCTCCCGGCCCCAGAGTCCTTAAAGGGGCATGGTCTGGCTACAGTGCTCGAGCCAGTTGCAAGCCTGCCAGCACCTAGACAGCAGACCCTGCAGCTGGCATGGCATGGCATGAGCCAGCCACCCGCTGCCACCCAACCCTCTGCCTCTTCCCAGGACCAGGCTGGCGGCTCCCCGGAGCCTGCCCGGGGCTGCAAGAGGCGGGGGCCCGCCTGGTCTAGTGCGGAGATCGTGGACCTCATCGAGGTTTGGGGGGAGACCTCCAACGTCCACGACCTCCGCATTAGGCACAGGAATGCGGCCGTCTAGGGCAGGATAGCTGCCAGCCTGGCCACCAAAGGCCACATGCGAATCCAGGAGCAGGTATGCATGAAAATCAAGTTGGTCCAGTGAGCCCCCCCCGACCCTGAGCCCTGAGCTTAGAACATAAGAATATAAGAATGGCCATACTGGGTCAGACCAAAGGTCCATCTAGCCCAGTAGCCTGTGTGCCGACAGCGGCCAGCACCAGGTACCCCAGAGGGAATGGACCGAAGACAATGACCAAGCGATTTGTCTCATGCCATCCATCTCCAGTCTTCCACAAACAGAGGCCAGGAACACTATTCCTACCCCCTGGCTAATAGCACTCCATGGACCCAACCTCCATGAATTTTTCTAACTTCTCTTTAAACTCTGTTATAGTTCTAGCCTTCATAGCCTCCTGTGGCAAGGAGTTCCACAGGTTGACTATTTGCTGTGTCAAGAAGAACTTTCGCTTATTAGTTTTAAACCTGCTTTCCATTCATTTCATTTGGTGTCCTCTAGTCCTTCTGTTATGGGAACTAATTAAGAACTTTTCTTTATTCACCCTCACCACACCATTCATGATTTTATAGACCTCTATCATATCCCCCCTCAATCTCCTCTTTTGTAAGCTGAAAAGTCCCTGTCTCTTTAGCCTCTCTTCATATGGGACCTGTTCCAAACCCCTAATCATTGTAGTTGCCCTTTTCTGAACCTTTTCCAAGGCCAAAATATCTTTTTTGAGGTGAGGAGACCACATTTGTACACAGTATTGAAGATATGGCATACCATAGTTTTATACTTCCCCTCCTCCTTCTTCCCCTGGCTTCCCCCTTCCAGCTCCCTCCTCCCAGGTTTTCCCCTCCCCTCTCCCACCCTCTCTCTTCCCCTCTCCCACCTCCTTTTCCCAGTCTCCCCAGAGGTTAATCCCCTCCCTGCAGTTTTGTTAAATAAAGAGAGTTTTTATTTTTGAACACACATGTCCTTTATTTTTTCATCAGGAAGGGGGGCTAGGGAGAGGTAAGTGGAAGGAGGTGAGGGAGGAATGGGGCACGAGCCCCTGATGGGGAGGAATGGGGTGGCTCTGTGGGCTCCTCGGGGTTGAAGCTCTCCTGCAGGGCCTCCTGGATCCTGACAGCCCCCCGATTGACCCCCCCTGGATGGCCGCCTGTGGCAAGTGCAGCCGGGCTGATGGCCGAGTGCTGTGATGTGCCGAGTGTGAGCACTCAGGGCACTCCAAGACAGGAGTGCTTTGCTGTCCCTCATCGAGTTAAACAAGCAAGCAGGGAACCCTGAGAACTGTCTGTCTGGGGTGGGGGGCGGGTCCCTTTAAGCACAGCCCTCGGCTAGTTTGAGGCAGCAGCTCCACACTCTTAAGTCCTAACCTGATGCCCTGCTGGCACTGGTTCCGGCCATCCTTAACCTCGGTTCAGGGTCCACTCAATGTGGACATGCTATTTCGAATTAGCAAAACGCTAATTCGAATTACTTTTTAGTGCTGTAGTGTAGACATACCCTGGGTGTTTTTAAAATTGATTAATTTTGGGTAATATTTGTCTAGTCAATTATAAAACCAGGTGGGAAGAATGGAAGTAGCCTTTCTATGTCAAGAAACATACCCAGATATGGAACTTTGTGCCTTCATATGCAGTTTTGTTATTGATTTAATCAGGAGATCTTGACTGATCAAAAAGGAGTTGTACAAAAAGTGGAAACTAGGTCATATTTCAAAGGATGAATATGAACAAATAGTACAAGTATGTAAAGGCAAAAATAGAAAGGCCAAGGCACAAAACAAGCTCAAACAAGCCAGAGAGATAAAGTATAACAAGAAAACATTCTACAACTATATGAGAAGCAAGAGGAAGACCAAGAGCAAGGTAGGACCATGACTCAGTGAAGAGGAAAAAACAGTAAGAGAAAATGAGGAAATGGCAGATATGCTTAATGACTATTTGTTTTGGTTTTCACCGGGAAGGTTGTTGGTGGTTGGATGCCTAACATAGTGAATGCTGGTGAAAATGGGGAAGGTTCAGAATCTAAAATAGGAAAAGAACTAGTTAAAATTACTTAGACAAATTATATATCTATAAGTCACCAGGCCCTGATGAAATGCATCCTTGAAAATACTCAAGAAGTTGACTGAAGAGATATTTCATCAGCTATTATCTTTTAAAAGTCATGGAATACAAAAGAGATTCCAGAGATTTGAAAAAGGCAAATATAGTGCCCATCTATAAAAAGGGACATAACAATCCACGGAATTACTAACCACTAAGCTTAACTTCTGTAACAGGAAAGATAATAGAGCAAATAATGAAGGAATCCATTTGCAAAAGAATAGAAGATAATAAGGTGATAAATAACAGCACAGCTTTATAAACAACAAATCAACCTTATAGATTTATTTGACAGGATAACAAGCCTTGTGGCTAAGGAGGAAGCAGTAGAGGTAGTATATCTAAACTTCAGCAAGGCATTTGATACAGCCTTGCATGACCTTCTTATTAATAAACTAGGGAAATACAACCTAGATGGAGCTTCCCAGAGAGTAGTTATTAATTGTTCACAGTCATGCTTTGCTGAAAGGCATAATGAGTGGGGTTCCACAGGGATCGGTTTTGGGACTGGTTCTGTTAAATATCTTCATCAATTGTTTAGATCATGGCATAAGAGTAGGCTTATAAAGTTTGTGGATATTACTAAGCTGGAAGGGGTTCCAAGTTCTTTGGAGGATAAGATTATAAATCAAAATTATCTAGACAAAAGTGGAGAAATGGTCTGAGGTAAATAGCATGAAGTTTAATATGGACAAATGCAAAGTACCCCCCTTAGCAAGGATCAATCAGTTGCACACATACAAAATGGGAAATCTCTGCCTAGGAAGGAGTAATGCAGAAAGAGATCTAGGGGTCATAGTTGACCATAAACTAAACAAGTCAATAGTGTGACATTTAAAAAAAAAAAAAAAAAGGAAAGGAAAGAAAACATCATTCTGGGATGTATTAACAGGAGGGTTATATGCAAGACACAAGAAGTAATTCCTCCGCTGTACTCCAGGCTTCAGCTGGAGTATTGTGTCCAGTTCTGGGTGTCTCATTTCAGGTAAAATGTAGACAAATTGTAAAAGTCCAGAGAAGAGCAATAAAAATGATTAAAGGTCTAGAAAACATGACTTGCAAGAGGAGATTGAACTAAATGGATTTGTTTAGTCTGTAAAAGAGAAGACTGAGAAGGGACATAACAGCTTTCAAGCATCTAAAAGGTTATTACAAGAAACAAGGATGTTAAGGAGAAACATTATTCTCTTTAACATCCGATTATATGACAAGGACCAATGGGCTTAGATTATAGTAATGGAGGTTTAGATGGACATTAGGAAAAATTTCCTAATTATCAGGGTAGTTAGTAAGCACTGGGATAAATTGTTGA